ACATGCTTGGCTAGCCCCCTCCCACCTCAGCTCCTCTGTGGACAGTCCAGAGGCCAAGCTCAGTGTTCTTCAGCTCTGCAACACCTCCTGCCCACACCTCACCTGTGTGCTCGGCCTCACTGGATCCCACATGCTGCAGCCTGAACCCCAGGCACCAGCTCGCCGGCCCAGACCATCTTGATATTTCCAGGGACAGAATGTTGGCTGGAAAAGGCAGAGGGTGTTTCTATGGAGCCAACATCTCACAGCAGGAAGTGCAAACTAGTTTGACAGAAGTTGGTTGAGTTCTGTGATTCACGTGGTTGCTGCTCTCCTCACCTTGGAAGTAGGTGTTCGAGAAGCCTCAGTGGCTGCTGTTATGTTCCCACCTTCATCAATCCCTTTGGTTCATCAACCCCAGTGTTCTCGGATGGCTGAGCAAAGGCCTCCCCCAGGCCTGAGCTTCCTGGTGTTCTGAGACACTTGTGTAATGAAGGCAAGTCCTGTACCTTCACTGAACGGGGAGGGTGAGTTATACTGACATGAAAACAAACTATAGTAACCTGCTTCTCTGCCGTGTCTGAGATACCTGCATGGGACACAGAGGTTCTTGCTAACTTGCTCCATCTCCCTTCCCTTCCACACTCTGAACTTCAGAGGTGTGTGCTGAGGAGGCTAGGATCCATAGCTGTTGGATCTGGTGGCCTTGTTCATCCACGGGGGCTTCACTCACTCTCAGGGTTGGTGGAGTAGTCGTTTAGAGAACCTGACAACTTTCCAAACATGTCCTGGGGACAGCACCACTCCCAGATACTTGCTTCCAGCATATTGGAATGCCATAGTCCTTTCTGTCGTCTGGGGATTGGCCGTAGCCACACCAGAACTCTCTTTTTGCCCTGATCAATTTATGTTAATGACATTTGAATTCTGTTTGTCAGTCATACTGTTGTTATCTGATCAAGTTGGAGACTGGAGTCTTATTGTCATAATTGATGGCTCCTTGTATGCTGGCGTTCCCCGTCTCATTTATAATTCCTCTGTATGAGTTCTCTTCTTCAGGCTGTTTTTAAGCATATGAGACAGGAGGGTGGGTCACTGAGCTGAGGACGTGGCTCTATTTGCATCTGATAGCTTGCATCCTAGATACAAGACACCACAGGAGTGGGATAGAATGTCAGAAAGTACGAAGGAAATGGATTTAAATAAGGACTTAGAACTTTCCACTTATTGATACAGCTATCTGGACCAAGGGAATATACCCTGTTTTTCCTCTTGGGACATCTAAGAACTGTCTTAATTAAAACAAAACAAAACTTATAAACCAGTGACTGAGACCCAGGTTCCAGCATAGAAAGACCCCTAATGTCAACTTCCACCTCTATCCATGGACACTAACCCTCATTATCTGCACTTTTGATTCCTTAGTTTGAGTGACTTGCATCAACTGTGGTCTGAAAGCACTACATGGAAAGTTCTAGGACATAAAACAACAACAACAACAACATATAAGTTGAGATTGTTCAAAGCTCCAAGTTGCCTGGAGAACACTTGAGCCTGAGCCTACTTCTGAGTCCCCTGCACTGCGACCCTTCTCGTTTTCCAGTGTGTCCACGCTGTATGAACTATCCACCCTTTGTGACTCTGTACCCCTCTTGCTTACCAGGCTGACTGCTAGGCATTTGTGTTCAAGTACCCCTTGTGTCACAGACAGGGACAACATCTTCGTGTTCAAGTTGTCCTCAGGGGCGAGCAGGCCTGACTCTTCACCCTCCCTCATGGGGACGCTCAGCTCACTGTAGTCTGGCTTTCCTGTTCAGGGAAATAGCACCTCAGCTGGCTGAGCAACGCTCGGAAGCTTAACCAGTCAACATCTCTCTGTTGATTGTTTTAAACGAATTTAGTCACTTCTCATAAAAGAAGAGCTCCCTTAGCTTCACTGGCTCCTCCACTGATAAAGGAGAAGGAGGAAGGGGTCTTTCAACTCCCTCCTAGGGTGTCAGGTTCAGGGTGGAGGGCAGGATGACTGGGCTTGGCTCCCTGGGTCCTGGGAAGTCAAATTTGTCACCGTGGCCTCTGTACTTACAGGGAGTTATTTGGACACATCCACACCAATCCAGACAGCTCATGGTTTCTTGATTCATTATTCAGAGTTCTTCATCCTCATCTCCTCGCCAGCCACCTCCCTAGCTGTTGCCAGCTGAGTCAGTTCTGCTCCTAGAACATCTTCTTCTGCTTTAAGATGCAGAAACCACAGTGGACGGGCATTCTCGGAAGTGAGCAGCTGGGTGATGAGCGCTCCCTTCTCCAGCTTCCTTTCCCCCTTGCCTGACAACACCCCTGGTCCTGCTCATGGCCTCTGGGGGCAGTGAGAGCGACTAGGTGTCATCCTGTCTGGGACCTCTGGGCTGGAGAGCTTTCTAGGCCACATCCAGACAGACAGCTTGCATTGTTCCCCAAGTGGCTTATTCAAGCAAAGGCCACACTGGTGTATGGTGGCCATAAAACCCCTCTGAAAAGTAGTGTGGGAGAGAGAATGGGGTTGAAGGGTCCAGGAATATAAAAATATAAAGTTATAAACTTAAGGAATAGAAACTGACAGCCGTCAGTGTGGCTAGCAAAAAAAAAGGATTAGCCTTTAACTGGGCCCCTCTGTGTTTTATGATGGGCAGTTCTGTCAACAACCCAAACGTTAGTTTTCTTCTACTAAAGATTGCCCTCTGCAGCCCTGGGGCTAGCTATTCTTCCATGACCCCCCACCACTCACTACCAAAACCCAAGTTGACTTTTAATGAGTTCTGCGTGACAGCCTGCCTTGCACTGTTTCGTATTCCTCCCCATGGGAGCCCAGCTATGCCAGGGGAAGTTGCAGGTTTGGACGAACATCAATTAACTGAGTCAGGAAGGGCTGCAGGGATATAAAAATATTGTTTAGCTAAAACCCCCTAAAACCTTGTTAATGGAAAACTGTAAAAACCTAAAATAATTTGTCTCTAAACGTTTAACTTCAAAACTGTAAAAATTCCGTTGTCTGTGTCTCATGCTTACCCTGTACTATAAAAAGAAGCTATAGCCCTGTCCAGCTGCTGCAGCCGCAGAATTCCAACATTGGCTGTGGTCTCAGCTAGCTGATCAGCTTTTGTGCCCTGCGGTGTTTTATTTATTTATTTATTTTTAATTGTTTTTATTTTTCTGGAATAAAGTTTACTTCTGGTTTAATAGCTTTTGGTGGTCTGTCCCCCATTATTGTGAGACCCTGGACCCAACAGTGTCAGGGAAACGCCCCTCTGCAGTGAGATGTGCACTTCTGGAATAACACTGAGCTCACAGCAGAGAGAAGGGCCAGACTGGGGATTGATTTCTCTAGACTGAGGAGACCCTGATGAGATTCACCTTCCAGGCTTGTCTCTGCCTGCGTGATTCACACAGGCTGCGGCCATGGAACCCTTGAAATCACAGCACAGCTGAAGCTGAGATCTGCAGGTTTCCAGAGAGCTGTTAGATCTACTGACCGTCCATTGCCTCTCCTTGATTCCGTGAAAGCGTTTGTCAGAACCCCTGGGCTGTGTGTAGCTGCTGTGGTACTGCCCCTGGCTCTACGCTGAACTCACAGATGTGTTTACGGGGCTCTCACACCTCCAGTCATGGTTGGGTGGCCTTTGGCAGGGCCAAGCACAATGTAAGGGATGAGGTACAAAGAGGAACTACCAGAGAGGCATGAAATGAAGACCCAGGAGGGATAATGGAACATCTGTGCTCACTGGAAGGGTCCTTCTATCCACAGTCCTCCAGGCACTGTGGTCAGCGCCTTCTCAGCTGCTGCTGTGTGCTATTGAGAAACTGTAGTAGTTCCTTGCTGTGGTGACAAAATGCCCGAGAAAGGTGACCTGGAGAAGGGAGGGCTTGTTTAGACGTACGGTTCGAGGGTACTGTCCACCATGCTGTAAAAGTCACCGTGGCAGGAACGTGAGGCAGCCAGTCACGTTGCATTCACAGCCAGGAAGCAGAGGGGGATGAATGCCGGGCTTCAGCTCACTCTCTCTTACGCAGTCTAGGGCTCGTGTTTATGGTTCTTCTTACTCAGTTGACCCAGTCTAGAAGCTCCTTCACAGACCTGTCCAGAGGTTTGTTTCCGTGGTGATTCTAAAGTCCATCGAGTTGAGGCTCGCAGTGTGTCTCGCATGCACCCACAGTGTTACTCCTCATAGCAGGTTTCAGGGGAGCTGGCTGATGTCCTAGGGTCCAGTCCACCAATCTAGGAGGTCACCATGATCTTGACCTCTGGTCACTTTGGTCTTGGCATGGAGTTATATTGTGGGGAATGATTTAAAGTGATTTTTATCTATGGATTTACAGGCAGAAAACACACAACGATGTCTCACCCGGTGGGTAAGAGGGCTGCTACATCCTAACTGGCTTTAGAACTGAAGTTGCCAAGGCCAGAGGGAGGCCGGGTGTGGAAGAAGTAACATTGCTGGAGTGTTTTCACTTCTTAGGGTAGAATGGATATGTTGTAGGCCAGAGGTTCTGAGAACTGTCTCCACAGTGACCTGGCTCCACGTTCAGGAGGAAGAGTCTGGCCCTGGCAGCAGAGGATATTGTGCTGGTTTTATACCAACTCGACAGAAGAGGGAGACTCAACTGAGAAAATGCCCCCACAAGGTTGGCCTGTGGGGCATTTTCTCAATTGGTGGTTGATGTGAGAAGGCCTAGCTCACTGTGGGTGGTGCCACCCCTGGGCTGGTGGTCCTGGGTGCTGTATCAAAACACCCTGGTGAGCAAGCCATGAGGAGCAAGCCAGTCAGTAGCGTTCCTCCTTGGCCTCTGCATCAGGCTCCTGCCTCGAGTCCCTGCCCTGTCCCTGGAGGATGGACATATGATTTGTAAGGTGACACAGACCCTTTCTCCCCTAGGTTGTTTTCAGTCGTGGTGTTTTATCACAGCAGTAGAAATACCAAGGCAGAAGTAAACTTAGTCTCAGTTCTCTTGCCTCTCAGTGAAACGCGTCTGCATTTCCCTCACAGACCCGGTACCTCTCCCCGCGAGCTCGCCGTCGGCTGCATGCTCTGCTGGCCTCCTGCTCCACCTCTATGCTGATCCTGTTCAACCTGGTGTTTCTCGGGGGGATTCACGTTGGAAAAATCTACTGGTACAGGATCTTCCTGCAAGGTGAGTGCGGCTCTGCTGCTGCCACATTGTCTCCTTTGTATTCAGGTGCTATGGTTGACTTGGGAGTCTTGGGAGAGCCATGCATGTGACATGTGCCCAGCTAGGTGTCAGCTGGGAACAGCTTCTGCTCCACTGTGACTGCCGTGTTACCTGTTCTCAGGCACCTCATATCTACTGCCCATGATGCTTCACATCCAAATGTGGGACCCCCAGCTCTCCTGCACCCTTCATGCCCTTCTGCATTAACTCTAGCCTTATTCCACTCATGCTCTGAGTTTCTGCCAGCAACACTCCTGGACATCCCCTTGTGCTGTGCTGGAGCTGTGAGCCTGGGTCTGGTGTCCAGCTCTGGACCTGGACATTTGTCTCTGAACGTCATCACCCAATTGTTCTGAAAAGGAAAAATATACATGTTGGCTTATGTGTGTGTAAGCACATGTGTGCTGTAGCATATGTGCACAAGAAGTCAGAGGACAAGTTTGTGGAGTTGTTTCTCTCCTTCTACCTTTTCAAGGGCCCAGGGATCGAACTCAGGTCTCCAGGCTTGCCCCCACAAGCACCTTCACCCACTGAGCCAGCTTGTTGGCCCCAATGCTGAGGTAATCTTTTGTTTCATGTACACTGAGTGGGTTGCCTCAGCACCCACAGCAAAGCCACATCTGCAGCAGGTGGAATGCTAGTGTGGGGCAGTTGTGAAAACTTGACAGTAATGGCGGATCATCGTTATCTCCGGTCTAGTCTAGTCACTGAGTGTAGCACTGTAGCCAGCTTACCGTGCTTCCAAAGAAAGGATCCACTGTATCCACTGTTCCACTTCCCCCACCCGTGCTTGGGTCTGGGGAGTCCTGGCTGAGCGGTGGTGGTGGGACTGGACGTGGCGGCTGGCCTGTCATCTCTGCATCGGGTCCCTAAGGAGCCAGAGATATTTTTGCTGCATCTTTCTTTTAACAGCAGAAACATTAACCTGACGCAGCTGGTGTGCCTGCTATCAGTCATGAAGCAGATAGACTGCATGGCTCCGTGGGCTCATGAGGTCCCACAAGCTTGTCACTGTAAATGCCCCTCTTTGGTGTACTTTCTGGAACGTTCAGCTCACGGCTCCCACAGAACCTGGGACATTGATGGGCACATGGAGACTGGGGGGTGGGGAGATGACTTTAGACCCCCTTGTCACCTGATGAGAAGGCTCTGGTTTCCACTTGAGTAAATCACATCTATCAGGTGATTGCTGTTTACGAAACACCGTGAACACAAGGACGAGGAAGGAAGCCTCTTGCTGGGGGTGGTGACTCCACCCAAAATCCTAGCACTCAGGAGGCTGAGGAAGAATGTTCTAGAGTCTGAGGCCAGCCTGAGCCACATAGTGAGACCTCTATCCATCCCATGAAGAGGTGAAGGAAATGCAAGAAACACAGATAAACATGGAAGCCAAATACAAATGTTCTCCACGGGACACTTGATTGGGGTAACCACTGTGCGGATGTCTGAGGGAACTGCCGGAAGCCGTTAAAGCAGAGGGGTGACTTTCCTCGGGAGCGGTGTTTAAGCTAAGCACTAAGCAAGGATCTACCAGTGTCCAGGAAGGCCGGTGTGCCAGGGTAACTAACGTTGGCTGCCGTAGCAGAGACTCCAAATCTTGGTGGATGTTCACTGTACATGTTTATTACTCAGGGCTGAGGAGACGGCTCAGCAGGTAGGAGTCAAACCCTCAGCATCCATATAAAAGCAAGCTTGTGTGACACACATGTGCCTGTGACTCCAGGACTGTGCTGTGGGCAGGCAGGGGTGGTGGTGTGGGGTAGGGTAGGG